TCCTAATACCTGAATATGGATTCTTCCCTTTCAACGCATGATTGAAAGCAAGTAATTATTTGGATCAAACCTTGCACGATAAACATATAAATAACGTTAATCATTTTCTGAAATCAAATCATAATAAAGTAATTCTTTGGATCAAACCTTGGTTATTGAAATTGACTTCAATCGTAGAACCAATTAAGTAGGTTTATGCTTGGAAAAACGTTGTTGGTCTAGTGACGACCTTAATGATGACCTTGATTAATTTGGAAGATCAAATTAATATGGTTGATTAAAGTACAATTTCGAATGAAAAATGATTTTTCATACATATGAAGCAACGACTACTATTTTGAAAGTACTTAGACTTTCACTCGAATCGAATATTATCTAAGTGATAAATGGATTGAACTATGAAAGAGTTGATGAACTCTAAATTCAAGAATAACCCAAAAATATGGGGGTTATCATAAATACTTGAGAACTTATGTGAAAATTTCAAGACGTGTGAGTGCAACACTACTACTTGCGCATATATTCCTAATTCAGGAATTGTGGGGGTAACCTAGTTTAAAGTGACCTCTCAAGAAAATGGAAGAGACTCTATATGAATTATGGAAATGACATCCTCCTTCCTACCAGTACTTAAAAATGTGTGGGTGTTTGGCAAAGGTTGAGGTTCCTAAGCCTAAACAAATAAAGAGGGTGTTTGACAAAGGTTGAGGTTCCTAAGCTTAAACAAATAAAGATTGGTCCCAAAACGATTGATTGCATATTTATTGGATACGCCAATAATAGTAGTGCATATCGTTTCCTCGTACACAAATCGGATGTATACGAGGGTACCATAATTGAGTCAAGGAATGTGATATTATTTGAGAATGTGTTTCCTTGCAAAGATAAGAAAAATGTAAATTTAAATAACAGAATATATGAAACTACAAATGGATCTTCAAATGAGAATAAACCAAGGCGTAGTAAGAGGGCTAGAATGTCCACTTCGTTTGATCCGAATTTTCTCACATATATGATAGAAAATGACCTAAAGACTTCTGAAAAAGCAATGTTTATTCCGAAAGCACCGCATTGGAAGGAAGCTATCAATAGTGAGATAGATTCCAGAATGCAAATTCATACATGGAAATTGGTAGATATACTTCCCAGAAATAAGCTTTTATGGTGTAAATGGATTAAAACCTGATGATCCATTGATAAATATAAGGTTAGATTGGTTACTAAAGGATATAGGCAGGAAGATGGATTTGACTTCTTTACCTACTCACCTGTGACCAGAATCACTTTGATAAGGTTACTAATTGCAACTGCGGCAATACATAACTTTGAGATTCACCAAATGGATGTGGAAACGGGATTCCTAAACGGTGAGTTAGAAGAAAAGATATATATAGAGCAATCTAAAGGTGTCTCCAAGTGAAAACCACAAAGTTTGTAAACTTGTTGAGTTCTTTTATGGACTGAAATAAGCTCCTGACACCAAAAGTTTTACAAAACGATGTTGTCAAATGAGCTCAAAATAAATGAATGTGACAAGTGTGTATGCGTGAAAAATACACCAGATGCCTATATGTTTGTAGTAGTCAATATGTTGATGATGAGCAATAGTCACGAAGTGGTGCTAAACGTCAAGAAAATGCTTACGAAGCATTACGACATGAAAGACTTGAGTGTGGCAGATGTAATACTAGAGATAAAAATCTCTAGAACATTGGAATGAATTGTACTTTCCTGGTCTCATTATGTTGAGAAAAAATTTAAAAAGTTTGATATATTAGAGGAAAGTTCGGGAAAACCCTATTGACACAAGTCTACACTTGGTCAAAATAAGGGTGAAAGCGTACCACAACTGAGATATTCACAATTAATTGACATTATAATATATATTACGAACTGCACTCGACCGAATAATACTTTTGCTATGAATAAATTTAGTATATTCACGAGTAATCCAGACCATGATTATTGGGTAGCATTGACAGGGGTCCTTAGGTATTTAAAATATACCATGACCTAAGAAATACATTTCACAAGATATCCTACGGTATTGAAAGGATATTGTGATGCGATGATATACAATAAGTCTAAAGTGGATGAAATGGGATAAATGCCTTAAAGTGGATGAAATGGGATGAAAGTCGATCATGACGGTTGTTTGGATATACAAGAACAATTTGAATATTTGAGAATATTCATAAAATTCGAATGCATTGCAATGTTTTAATGATGATATTGAATACTTATGTATGAAATCCACTAGTAAATATGATTGACTAGTGTGATGGTTTGTTAGAAATCCTCCAGCATTGTTGTTTGGAATTGATAAAGTTTTAGATAAAGCTAATGAGAAGCATGTAGTTTCATGAGAGGATTTCTTAGTTGGTGACAATGTGTATCTATCAAATGAATCGATCATTAGTTAGTTAAATTTGAAAAGATACTAAATCATATATAATGGTAAGTCTAGACATATATGTCGTAGACATAATACCATAAGCAGTTGATCTCATTGGTGTAAACTTGTGGATCCATTTATATATGTTTACCAAGATATCAAGTATACTGCATATCGAAGGGAATGAGATTAAGCCTACTGAGTAAGAGTTCTTATGATCGTAACCCTACCTTGTTGACTAAGTTATGGGGATTTTATGAAGCACTTAGGAAACTAATTTCCTAACTCATTCCTATGATATCAAAGTGCTTTCTGCAGAGTGATTGAAGATTAAGATAAACTTTTAATGATTCCTATATCTTGATTAAGTTAAGTGGAGTAAGACATAATACTCTTAATAGGAGATCACCTATGTAAGTGTGAAGTGGGGGCCGCTTCAAGGAGAATTATTTAAGGTTTGAATTCTCTAAACACTTACAGAACCAAGATGGGTTCAGGGCCAAAATGAACCAAATCATGAGAACCATGAATAGTTTATGGGAGACATTGTGTGAGTACTGTTGTCTTGACTTATACCAACAGCTGATGGTTCAAGAACATCACGTTCACCAATTAGCTAGTAAATTCGATGGTATTTCACTAAGGAAGGTTCAAAGCCAGAGGCTACATTATCTGATGCAGTGTTTTTCCCCTCTCTCTCTCTACTAGTGTTTGCATAGATATTTGCATTAATTTTCATTCATGTGGGGGATTGTTGGATTTTTTTAATCGAAAATTGGTTGTGACCAATTTTAAATGATTATTTAAGTGAAATTTGTTATTTGGTGAATGAGACGAAAATTGGTTGTGACCAATTTTAAATGATTATTTAAGTGAAATTCATTATTTGGTTAATGAGAAATTAAGCCAAATGTAAACAGCTTAAATACTGAAAATTATTGAAAAAATCGTATAGAATATTCTGAAATATTCTATAAATATATGGAGGAAAAAAATGTGGCTTTTCGTATGAAAGATCATGACTCTTGGTATGGGTATGATTAATGTCCAGTAATTACTTTTGAAAAAAGTTAGTCACTTAAAAAAGGTGATACTTAACTTTAAAAAAGTGACATTGTCACTTTTTTGTACACTTAATTTTACATAGTGTTTTTTACTTTCAAATTACTTTTCATATGATTTTTCGAAAGACCCCTAATCTTAAGAGTATTTTTGTAAGTTGTTAATATTTTATTGTGAAAATGTACTGTTGAAAATGCATTTAAGACAAAAGAGTTTTGCTTTAATGGTTGTTAAATAAGGGCTAAAATTTGTCTATTTGATTCGACAAATCATTGAGTGGGCTTCTTATCATTGTTTTTCCATTTTACTACATCAAATTGGTAGACAATTAAGAATTACAATTACAAATACTTAATTGATTAATAATAGAATTAAAATATGATTAATGTAAATACAATTTACTTATTTATGCTATAAAAAAAAAAAAAAGTAGCAAGTGTCCATATTTATTTTTAAATAATAATTTTCCATGTTGAAACGGTCAATTCACATCAAATCACTACAAAAAATATTAATCAACTGTCATACCTTAAAGTACCCAAAGTCCATGTAAATAAAAAATAATTAATGCTGCAACTTGTTGAAAATTATTTCTTAGGTTGAAAAAGTTTAACCATGTCAACTCAATTTTGCACTGGTTATTATCCAAGAACATAGTTGGCATTGCTGCATTATTAGATTTCTAAGCAAATTAATGCTGATATTAGCCTTTTAATTGATTTTTATTAGGAAAATGCCAAACGAACATAATGTTTGATACAAAGGATGACATCACAATCATAGTCGATGTGTGGATCCTGCGCGAATAAAATAATGCCGACCTCCCATGTGAGTGTATTGTGTCAACCAATGTGTCAAACTTTGTGGTAGTGTAACACGGTTGTTATTATTATTATGTCGTTTAGAAATATTGATTACCCTTTATTAATCTTTTATTTCATTCGTCATTTATCTTGTTGATTTTTATTAGAGCGTCATTTAGAACATTTTGTTTTCAAATACCATTAATAAATATTAACTCGCTAATTAATTTTCATCTAAAAGTCTCATCTTAAATGTCCATGAGCCAAAATTTGGTTAAATTATAAGTTAATCAGAGTGATAATTAATTAATTAATTAATTAAAAGTGAATATAAAGTACGTACGCAGGTCCACGCACTCATGGGGGAAAAAAACAAAGCACTATTAGTAAATAATATGAATATAATACTTTTTAGGCCACATAATAAAACAAAAGCAAATTCACGGAATCAATACCTACCACATGCCCGACGACGTTAAGTTGCTTTTTGACAATTATTAAAAAGAATGTTTTTTTTGGAAAAAATGAGTTTTTTAAATAATAATTTTTTGAAGAATATATTGTTAAAAGTTAGGAATTTTTTTTTAGGTTTAGTACATAATATTTAATTGAGAAAACGTGTGGTTGAAAAAAAAAGAATTATATTTTAATGATTTTTGAACCGACAAATAATTGAGCGGGTTCTTATACTACATCGAATTTAGTGGAGAATTAAACATTGAGCATTCAAAGAAAGAACCATGAAAGTCCAGGTTCTGAGTAGGAAGTTGATAAAACCGTGCATTCCAACACCTGAATTTCTTCGTCATTACACAATATCTTTCATTGATGAGCTTGCTCCCTCCATTAACGTGCTTGCAGTTCTCTACTATTCACCTGGTTTAATCATTCAAAAATTGGAAGAATCATTGGCAGAAATCTTGCCTCAGTTTTACCCACTTGCAGGACGATACATGAAGGATGATCACTCGGTCGATTGCAGTGACCAGGGCGCCGCCTTTCTTGAAGCTCAAGTGGATTGCCAGCTCCTGGATATTATCGGCGCCGGGGCAAAACCCGAGGAGCTAAATGATCTCCTTCCATGCCAAAGCTTTGCAACTGAGGATGCCACGGAACCACTTCTTGCAATTCAAGTAAGCAAGTTTAAATGTGACGGGATAGCAATTTCTGTGAGTATTTCACACAGGATTGCTGATGCATCTTCACTTGGCATGTTTATATCTGCCTGGGCGAATGCCTGCCGAGGTGACAATGTTGAGGCAATTTCTTCACGTTTCAACGGCCCCTTGTTTTTCCCTGGCAAAAATTTTCCAGCTCCTGATTTTGGAGAAACAGGGACCAGGGATCTGGATGTTCATATCCCAGTTGCCAAGATTGTTGCCAGGAGGTTTGTATTTGACAACAAGGCAATATTAGGGCTAAGGGCTAAGATCAGTGAAGGAAAAACAGGAAACAGCAACCTTCGAGAGTACAAGTTGTGTCTGCGCTTATAACTAAGGCTCTTGCAGCTGTCGATGCCCAGACAACATATGGACATTCGAGAAATTTACTTGTCGCGCAGCTTGTTAGTGTTCAGGAAAGAACTGTTCCACCAGTGCCAAAATATTGTTTTGGCAACTTAGTGGCAATAGCAATGACTGAATCCACTGCTGCTGAAGTCAAAAACATGGTTTTTCAGGATTTTGTTCGTTTGCTGGGTGATAACGTTGGTAAATCCGTTGCAGATTGCGCGAAAATAGTCTAACGGAGAAGATGGGCACAAGATACTCGTGGATACAATTGTGGGTTTCAATAAAAAGTCAGCCAATAGTGACTTAAACGTCGTCTTGATTACCGACTGGAGCAAGCTAGGATTTTATGAAGTTGATTTCGGATGGGGAAAACCCATGTTGGCAAGTGTTGCAGATGTGCCCATCAAAAACCTCGTCACGCTCTTGAATAGCAAAGGGAGCGGTGGAATTGAAGCATGGGTGCATTTGGATGAAAAAGACATGTCTTACTTTGAGCAAGACGAGGATCTAAAAATGTTTACAACTTCGTTAGTTTGAGAAATTAAGGCCAAATGAGCCATTACTTAGCAACTATTATCAAATTATCACGTGACCCTTTTTTTTTGAATTAGTTCAACTTTTGTTCAAATATCAATGAAATCTGTTCAATATTTTTGTGATGGGAGTTGCTGGCTATGGATTTATCGAAAGTGTAGATGAAGTTTGAGTTTTGCTAAGTGTATTAGTTCATTTATATTTGGGGTTTTTTGTTTTTTGTTATTTGTTAATTTGTTATTATTATTATTTTTTTGGGTTCCATTTTGCTTGAAGGTATTGGGTAAAAAATTTCCGTTCTCAAAATGTAGGCCAGTGTTTTGAATGAATATGAAATGTGAATGTTGGAAAATATCTCCAGTTTTTTGAAAACTTTAGGGTGTGTTTGATACACCAAAATTTTCCATGAAAAATAGAATTCCATTTTCCAACTTTATGGTGTTTGACAAAGTTTTATTTCCATGGAATTGCCTTTTCTTGCTTCTCTCAGGAATTGGCCTTTTCTTGGTTTTTAAGGAAAACCAATTCTCAATGGTGAGAATTGGAATTACATGTTACTGTAGCATTTTGTTTATTTTTTTTGTGTTGGTAATGGAAACAAATTCTAAGATTTATTGTAAAAAAAAATATTTCCTTTTAATTAACAATTACCATGTAAAACAAAGTCAAATGAACACCCAATAATAGATGATTTTCTTGAATTTTTTATTATTTATTATTATTAATTTTTTGGTAATTGAAACAAATTTCAGTCCCAATACCATTAAATTCTATCTCTTTAATTGACAATTTTCATATAAAATAAAGCCAAACGGACATCAAAAAGCACTTTAATTTAAACATTTTTCAGGTGAAAAATTATACCAATCAAACATAATAATTTACAATTCTCAAGAAAACAATTTTCCATCAATTCAATTCCTAGAATTCGTTTTCTTTCCACCCAAATTCCACATTTGCAATCAAACGGACCCTTAATATATTTTGACAACTCGAAACTTTGGAGTTACAATTTGAAACGTCAAAATTTTTTAGAATTATAGAATTTCGACAACGTAATTGTAGAATCCTTGTTAATATGTTGATTGTATGTAGAATTATAGATTTTTTTTTCATGTAATTGTAGAATTGCTTTTCACCTATCGAAGTTTTTTGTAATTATCAAATTCCTTTTGAATTGTCGAAATCCTTTCATAAATGTCGAATTCCTTCAGAACTATTGAATTCTTATGAAAATGTCGAAGTGCCTTTATGTTTAGTTAATTCAAATGTCGAAAGTGTTTACAAACTGAATTATTGTACAGTTTAGAATTAGACTTTGCATATTGCTTGGTTTTTGTTGGCCGACATTAATTATAACAAATTATGTACGAGATACAGGAAGATAAGATATTTGCAGGTTAAGTTACACAAATTAGCTCCGTCACCCTCTTAGACGATGTCACGCTAGGGATGGCAACGTGGCGGCGCACCACCACCCCGTCCCGTCTAAGGGTGGGGCAACTTTTTGCCCCGTTTAATTTTTTTAATTATTTTTTTTTTACATTTTCAAAGTTTTGAGTTATGTTATTATTAGAGAATAAAATACGAATTCAAAATGAGTTTTTAACGGATGAGTTTTCTAGAAATAAATTATTTTTAATTTTTTCCTCCAGGGGGGTTTGGGGCAGGGCATTCTCGCCCCATCTCGCCAACCCATTCGATACGAATTTTTTTGCCATCACTATGTCACAACACTTTTATAAAAATACTTCTGATACCTTAATTTGTGTAAGTTGACTTGGCCCCACTTTTCTGAGTGCCTACTGACCTCCTCATTTGCTTTAATCATAAAATCAACATTAGGACAAACAATAAAGTGAGAGGATCCCATGATAATTCTAACTTCATTAAATTCCAATGCTTCATTTGGTTCCAATGGGACTAATTCTTCGTTCTCTACACACTCTTTTTCATTAGTTATTATTTTCTTGGATGGATAACCAATCATCTATTCAAAGTCTTGGACAATTACGCAATGAAGTCTTCATGGGGCATCTCCCTTTTCTTGTTGATGGTTAGTTGATTTACTACTATTAAGATTATTCGACTTATGATCTAGTTACAACTCATTCTTCCACAAAGGAATCCCTTAGAACTTGAACACAAAACCTTCAATATTTGACCGATCAGATGAAATCAACTATTATTGTATTCTCAACTCTTTCTACCTCACAAGTTTTAGAAAGAGTCTAGGGTTCAAATGACCTTAAAGTATGAGAGGAAAAATCCTTTTAATATGCATCCAACGAAAATGATGCATTCTTGATTAATCAATAGTGGATTATCAATATGGTACAAGAATGTGTTGTTCCAATTATATTGCACAAGTGAAATGCGAATATAGTCCAAGGCCCGTGTATCACCTTTAGTAATCTCCACCTTGGTACAAGTTTTTCGAGAAAATAAGAAGTAGCCCTAGTGCATGAGACTACATTACACTTCTGAGTAGAATGATCAATTTTTTTAATTTTTTTTTTTGGTAATTCATGTGTTCGAACTTCGCCTGATTAATTCTGAGAAGTGTCGGCCTTCCACTTGGTTTACTATTTGGGTAATTCAGATGCGATTACAGTTTATACACACTTGTCCCGAATAATCGGGAAGCGACTCTCTTCCCTATAGATTCCCCTTTACGACATGTGGATGGGATCCCCTGAAAGGGCGACGGAGTGCCCCATAACTTTCGTCTCCACAGGATATCATCTTTCTAACATAAATATTGTCTTCCAACTGTCATGGAGATTTGAACATCCGATGCTCCATTTAGAACTTTCCTACTTTATCTTTGGGCCATGCCCGCAGGGACAGATGACCTTTTTTATTGAATGCAAAGTCACTTATCATAGGAATTGAAGTCACTTTAGATTGAGACATCTAAAATTTGGTTAACATTTTATTGATATAAGAAGTTTATTGAAAGGAAAGCA